GAGCATAAATAAAAATTAATAATGATATGGCACAAACGAGGATTTTAAAATGCATCCTTCGGATGCAGTTCTCCATCTTTTTGGTAGTTTATGCAAGCTAAGTTTGCATATAAGAAAGCATTCATTATCAAACATCGGAACTCTGTATAACTTTATAACAGTTCTAATGCTTTTTCCATAGTTATTTTAACGCCATCACGTGCAAACCGTTCGATATAAAACAAATCTTTCTGTAACTTAGTGTAGAAGACCAGAGAACTACTCCCTCATTGACCTTATACTACCTCTGGCTATACCCTATCTCCAGCTAGGCTTCTATTAATTACTGACATAATTATTGTCCAACGTGAAGCTGCTAGAGTTTTTCCTGAAGGGGGCATTGTATATCTGATATATAGTGAAACCTCTTCCATTAATCTGGCTGTGAATTTCTTTCAAAATCCCATGGAAAACTATTCTAGAGATTGGATGAAACGTGCACATGTTCATGTGGATTCATTTTCAGAGTAGTACAGTTTAGTAATTTATCATTCTCAAAATGTTTAGATAATGAAAACCTTGAAATATGAAATAGCAAGAAAGCGTAAATCTGTATTACCTGATGTTAAATGCACATTTCATGATTGATATGATAGGTATGCAATTACACCTCTGCGGCAAAAAAAAACAAAAACAAAAACAAACAAAAACGAAACAACAAAATATGAATCCATATTTACAGAGTTTGATTTCTGGTTTGTTAAACCAAATCTTACTTGAAATTTCTTACCAACATTCTTATAATTATAAATATAAACTTTATTTATTTTACAACAAAGCAGAGTTACAATCTTATTGTGATTACATTTATTCGATAAGTGGAATCAATGATATGTGGATTTTAAATGTCTCAAAAAAAGCTTTTGGCCAATTCTGAACATCCTATTTTAAAACAGCTTCTTTTAAGGATTTTTCCATTTTACACTGTGTGCACTACTATGTTCCATTCCAAAGAAAGAAACGACATTATTTTCTTGCCTTTTCTTCAATGATATAAGATAGGGGTTACAAATATTTGGTAAAAAATAATGTTGACAAAAGTTTAAAATGAATCAGTAATCATACAAACAGGAATATTTGTCATAAAATCTTACAATTCTTAAATGGGGAAATATCAATGAAGGAAATGCCGATATGTCAACATATTTATTTTTCAATCTCAAACTCAACGAAATTATATGCCAAAATGTGTACAGATGAAAAATAAACATATATAAGTTTACTGAAAGAGTACAAGGAGAGGAAAAACAGCTGTTCCGGAAGGGTAAGTGTCTTCTGCTTCATCTAACACAATAGCACACAAGTCGTGGTCAATTCATGTAGGTAATGTTACGTTCACTAAAGCGGTCTAGAGTAACAACGACAATTTCACCTGACATAAAAATGAACATAAAACTACTCTATTTTCATGAGGAAGCTACCTGATGTTATGTCACCACTTATTAACTGTATGCATTAGCGCAAAGCAATATTTAAATGTGGTCATACTATGGAGTTTCTACAATGTACCAATGTTTAAAAGTTTTACAGTGGAATGACAACGCTATATCATTAATTAGACATAGGCCTGTCACACCTGTATAATGATAATAAATAATTCATTGTTCCTGAACACAAAAGCCAAAATATAAAACAAGATAAGCTTCAGAAGGTAATCGGGTCAATAGGTCCGTCCTAGATGACGAGAAATTAAGGTCCAACAGTCGATATCATTTCAAACAATGTGAACAAAAACGAGGCTTGTTGTGAACTTTAAACACATTGAATTTTCATGCATGCTGTACTTTATTTTTTACATTTTCTATGTGGTATTAAAAACCTGTTTAAAAAGAGAGAAAAATGATTTCCCTTTATGGTATAGAAGACTGATATCGATTTAAGAAAAAAGTCTAATACATTATTTTCAATCCATTTCAGTTTGTGCTAATGTCTTTTTGTCTTTGTATATAATTGCTGGAAAATAATATAAACCTTACACACGATTACGTAATACAAAGAAATCGGGTTGCATCGCTGTTAAATCGACATTGAAATTGCACTTGAAACAATAAACTGCAATTTTTTTCTAACATCGGCAATCCAATTTTGCCAGTCATAAAACTTGAAATGAGAGATGAGGATTGGAGCAGTTATTCGATAAGGTAACTGATGTCCTTTTAACTCTAATGGAGGTATTGTTTGTCTGATTGTGTCGTTGTATTGGAAATGGTAATAGCAGACAAAGCCAGCACACATATATCGTCGGTAAAAACATTACTACCTACTTACCTGTTATATACTGGAATTAATAACCTTTCAGTCCGTGCCCGGTTACTAATTAAGTAATTGATCTGTAATTGAAATGTTTGGCGATGACATTGTACGTGAGATTATTCAACTATTGGGGGATGTATATTCCCTATAGCGCTTGGTTAAAAATATTTTATTACTGCAGCGGCAGTGAAGTGCATGTTTTGTATATATGATAGTTACAAAAACCAACCCCCCCCCCCCCCCCAAAAAAAAAAAAAAAAAAAACCCAAAGACACAATACACACACACACACACAAAAGAAAATTTATTAATAAAAAAATTCTACAAACAAATTTTAAAAAACAAAAAAAAAAAACAAAAATGGATCTTAAAAGAAGTAAAAACCAAACAATATCTGTCAAAGCCAGCTTGTCAATATATTCAAAAGATCATTCTAAAACCTCAATTATAAAACAAACTAATGTATACTTACTGATATATTGTCGGTCACGTTCGGGCGGATGAAGAGGTCCGTGGTGAGTCCAGTATATACTTTGTTGTCGGAATACTGACCGAGAAGACACTCCAAAGTTTCTGTGTTATAACTAATACTATGGCACATCATTGTCTGAACACACTCCTTCTGACAGCCTACAATTCCGATACCGTTAATTGTATTCAAAATACCGGTATCTATCCGATATCCTTTCAAATGTTCACTGTTGTCTACCATCTTGCAGTTTGTAGCCACGCCACATTGAATAGTGAGAAATAAATAAATTATGAATAAATTTAACATTTTGTTTATTGACTAAAAACTAAAAAAAAAAAAAAAAAAAACATCTTTTTTGAAATATGCGATTAAGATTGGTTTCTAGAGTAAAATGGCCATAACATATAAAACTTCTTCATTAGAGATTGAAACATACAACATTCCTTCAACAAAACATCCGAAAAAATATCCAACATCCGGCCTTATGGGTAGATCAGCATTTAAGCACGATCTAATCCCAGTCAGACTTTTTCCATAACACAAAATAATCAATACAGACCACATGACGATTGTTTCTCAATCAACTCCTACCCACGTGACCAGAATCTATACATACATACCTTCACGGTTCATTATCATATGTTAATTTCGAAAGTGAATCCATTTGCGAATTTTCTCACATTTAACCGAATCAATGTTGTTCACATGTTTGAGTTTGATATTCAAGGTTATATTCATAATATCGCAGTTGTAGTGCAAGGTGTCGGCAACATACTGAATAGCGAATGATTTCAAAGAATGAAGGTCGATGATAACGTATGTAATTGTTCTTTTTGTTCATATTTTACCCAAGTTTGATAGAATTTCAGTTTGGATTATCATTCAATTGTTTGTTTTTGTTGGCAGAATGCAAATCCAAAATTACACGTCGCGTATTGAAAATGAATCATTCAATATCTATCGGAAGTGTCCTTTTTGTGTGGGTATCTCAATACCGTGTTTGAATGTAGTTCTTTAAAAGAATTATAATAATTTTCAGACAAAATGTATGCATTGAAGACTCAGTAGTTTCTCATGCGAACGAGCATTTGTGCATTGTGTAAGATTTATTTTCAGCTCCGCCTTGTTGTTGGCTTGTTACAAACTCTTCAAGATCAAGAAGTACAAGACAATCAACCATTACTCTCACTCCAGTATCACTTTAACTACAATATCGTAATGAATTGTATCCGTTGATTTAACCACTCCAACAAATGAGCGGGTTGTTGACATGCTGATTTGTTAATTTATATTAAATCATATTACTTATTTTAACTGCTCATAATTTCTCCTAGTACTTCTTAATTTCTCTTAGTACTCCACTTAAACTATCTTAGTACTCCTACTTAACCTCACTCATTACTCCTAACTAATCTCTCTTAGTACTCCCACTTAATTTCTCTTAGTACTCCTATTTCATTTATCTCAGTACTCCTACCTAATTTCTCTTAGTACTCCCACTTAATTTCTCTTAGTACTCCCACTTAATTTCTCTTAGTACTCCCACTTAATTTCTCTTAGTACTCCCACTTAATTTCTCTTAGTACTCCTACTTAATTTATCTCAGTACTCCTACTTAATTTCTCTTAGTACTCCCACTTAATTTCTCTTAGTACTCCTACTTAATTTATCTTAGTACTCCTACTTAATTTCTCTCAGTACTCCTACCTAATTTCTCTCAGTACTCCTACCTAATTTATCTCAGTACTCCTACCTAATTTATCTTAGTACTCCTACCTAATTTCCCTCAGTACTCCTACTTAATTTCTCTTAGTACTCCTACTTAATTTCTCTCAGTACTCCTACCTAATTTCTCTCAGTACTCCTACTTAATTTCTCTTAGTACTCCTACTTAATTTCTCTCAGTACTCCTACCTAATTTCTCAGTACTCCTACCTAATTTCCCTCAGTACTCCTACTTAATTTCTCTTAGTACTCCTACCTAATTTCTCTTAGTACTCCCACCTAATTTCTCTTAGTACTCCCACCTAATTTCTCTTAGTACTCCTACCTAATTTCTCTTAGTACTCCCACTTAATTTCTCTTAGTACTCCTACTTAATTTATTTCAGTACTCCTACTTAATTTCTCTCAGTACTCCTACTTAATTTCTCTTAGTACCCCTACTTAATTTATTTCAGTACTCCTACTTGATTTCTCGCAGTGCTCCTACCTAATTTCTCTTAATACTCCCACAGGGAAAAAGATAGCTTTCAGGTAATGCACACAGAAAGCATTACTCTTCTCGAAGCAAGAAAGACTGTTGAAATCCCTGTGTCGGTTCCATCCTATGCCAGTCTTGCAAAGGTTGGTATTACGAACTTGGAGACCCATGATGCTACACAGACATATGATGCAGGTAAACAGACTGACATAGCGTGCGACAATCTTTCTGGCCTTCGGCCTGCTACATCAAAGGCTTCGTCAACAGTTATCGCGAACACCACCATCACCATCAAAACAGAATCAGAACCCCCAATCACCATCAAAATCTGCTCCCAGCACTCAAAAAGTGAAAAATCAGCCAAAGCAGATAATTCAAATTTCCTCAGATAGAAGGAAAAAAGGGTCTGACAACCCCATTCACACCTAATAGCTGTAAAACCACCTTAGGTTAAATAAGTAGTCTAGCTAATTATCAATGGTTCCCCACTTATCTCTATTTTTGTTAGTTTTAATGGATACAATAATCCAATGGAATTGAAGGGTTCTGCAATCCAATATTGATGAAATTCTTCGATTGTCTCAAGAACATAACCCTAGTGTAAAATGTATCCTAGAAACGCTCACCAGAACCGTTACAAATATCAATTTCAGAAAATATTCATTGTTTAATGCCAACTTATTAGCATCCCTCTTCCGGAACATCCTCACAATTTTATTTAACTTTATGCCACTTATCTTTGTTACTCGATTTAGAATGGACGTTGCATGGCGATCTCTGTGGAAGCGACCACCTTAAAATATTTCTAAGGAATTGTGGATTCACAGAGAGCGATCATGTACCCCATTGGAAATTATATAAAACAGATTAGAGTGAATTTGAACATTTCAGTACCAAAATTATCAACACCATTGATTTCCTGAATTTAAAAGACCCGGTAGAATCCTTTACTACCAAACTTCCTGAGATCGCCGAAGACTGTATACTAAAGTTTATAAGAAAACGCAATAACAAAACCTTGGATTAATAAAGATTGTGATAAACCGCTTTGGGGCAATTAAAAATCAACCCAACAAGCGATAGCTTAAACAACAATAAAATCTTTCGGGCGATAGCCCGTCGTGCTATACGCTTCCACAAACAATTGCCTTGGAGATCTTATGTCTCCAAATTAAATTCCAATACATCCACCAAAAAGGTATGGGATAAGTTAAAACGAATCGGTGGTAAAAAATCATTCAAAACAATGGGAAATCTGAAAACTCATGGAAAATTAGCCACATCGAAATTTGATATTGCAAATGCTTTAGGATCTGCATTTTCCAAATATTCGTCTGCAAATAATCATTCCACAAAATTTTTAAAAAAAATTAAGACCAAGCGTGAAAAAACTAAATTGAAATTCTCTTCCGAAAACAATGAAACTTACAATCAACCTTTCTCAATGTTAGAACTACGAAAATCGTTGAAAAAAAATCGCATGACTCTGCAACAGGACCTGATGATATTCACTATCAGTTTCTAAAACATCTACCAGAGTCATCATTAGAAAAACCTTCTTGGTATTATTAATCATATTTTTAGATCGAGAAATGTCCCAAAGTCAAGGAAATGGTAACTGTGATTCCTATCAACAAACAGGGTAAAGATACGACAGATCCCTCCAGTTACCACCCAATATCACTCACGAGTTGCGTTGGTAAAACTCTAGAACGGATGATAAATTCAAGATTAATTTGGTATCTGGAATACAATCACATAATATCACCCCTACAGAGAGGTTTTAGATCTAAGCGAGATACCAATGATCTTTTGGTTAGACTTGAAACATTTGTGCGTGAGGCTTTTCTAAAGAAGGAGCACTTGGTTGCTGTTTTTTTTTCGATTTGGAAAAGGCTAACGACACAAAGTTGAAATACGACAAAATGAAAGATCTGCACGATATAGGTATTAAAGGTAATCTACCATTTTTTTAAAATACTTATTTTTGGACTTAAGATTAACAGTATTGTCAAAACATCATTCTCTTCAATGGAGGGCGCTCTTTGTGTCGATGACTTCATCATATGCTATCGATCTAAGCATATGAATGCCATCGAAAGACAACGACAACAATGTCTGAATCGACAACAAATTTGGGCAGAATATAGTTTAAAATTTTCACAATCAAAAACAGTTCGTATGCATTTTTGTCAAATTCGGAAACAACACGACGATCCAAATTTGTCTCTCTGTGGTGTACCTATTCCGGTTGTTGAGCAAACGAAATTCTTAGGTGTAATATTCGACAGGAAATTGTCGACTTTTAACTTCATGAAATGTTTAAATCAGACAGAGACAGTTACACCTTTCGTTCATTCTTCTCGAAATTGCAGTTAAGATATAAAACATTTCTACATTTATATACTGATGGTTAAAAAGATAATGATGAGGTTTCCGCGGTCATGGTTACACAAGATGAAACCTATGGATGCCAGTAACTGATTCTATATAGCCGTCGAAATAAATTGGCTTTGCAATACACCATTTAGCTAAGGGCAAATCCTTCAAATCTTGCTTTTTCACTTGTATTTGATCCAAAATATAAAACCTTGTTTCCAAACAAACCAAAAATTCACCTGAAGTTGACTTTTAACTTCATGAAATGTTTCTCTTGACAGTTACACCTTTCGTTTCTTCTCTTGCAGTTAAGATATAAAACATTTCTACATTTATATACTGATGGTTAAAAAGATAATGATGAGGTTTCCGCGGTCATGGTTACACAAGATGAAACCTATGGATGCCAGTAACTGATTCTCGACGGAAGCCCGAGCTATCTACCTCGCTCTTGAATATACTCCTAGTTTCTCTTAGCACTCCTAGTTTCTCTTGGTACTCCTAGTTTCTCTTGGTACTCCTAGTTTCTCTTGGTACTCCTAGTTTCTCTTGGTACTCCTAGTTTCTCTTGGTACTCCTAGTTTCCGTTAGTACTCCTAGTTTCTCTTGGTTCTCCTAGTTTCTCTTAATAACCCTAGTTTCTTTTAGTACCACTAGTTTCTTTTGGTACTCCTTGTTTCTCTTAGTAATCCTGGTTTCTTTTAGTACTCCCAGTATTTCTTGTGGTACTGCCAGTTTCTCCTGATACGATACCACTAGTTTCTCTTAATACTCCTTATCTTTTAATTTCTAATTTCTCCCTCTGCTACTGCTATCACTCAGTACTCATTATTTCTCTTAATATCCCAAGTTTCTCCTAACACCTCTTAATACTTAGTACCTTCGTGTACCTAACAGCTCCTTGTGCAGTATCTTCTTCTTTGTACAACCCATATCTGGTCACATTTTTGCTATTCATAAAGCTACTCTATATGTCTCCTAGTTCTGCTTGGGTCTAACATCAAAACAACACTGCCCTTCGTACATGTGTGGAAGGAGCAATATTTGTGAATGAATGACCGGTCGCGTGTGAATGTGAGAGTGCAAGCATATTGTATATAAATAAACTACTATGTACTTACGTTGATTGTAACGTTCTGTTAATGCATTATCGTGTATCGGATTTGTTCATATTAACACCGTTGGCTTGTGCTGTCATCCGGGCGTCTAAATTTATTCACTTCCTTTACTTTCATGTTGGTAATTTCCTTCCTTACGTAACGGGGCTTCTCATTGGTTGATCTCACTCTATCATGTAAAGCTTATTTAAGTCCGGACATCGATAGTAATCTTCAGTCTGACCTGCTGGTAGGCTCACTTCTCTCTCCTACTCTTGTCTCTTTCGTCTGTGGGTTGGGGGGTCCGCCGTGTCCCTCTGTGGCATTTCGAATAATGTATAGGCAGTAGACTTAGCCATAAGCCAGCGGTGGGGTATCTTATGTAGCTGTCACGTACGCATTTCGTGTTGTTTGCTCTTTCTTTTTAAGCATCTGCGGGTGCAATAAACCTAACCCTGTACCTTATAACCCGTGTTGAGTTGTCCATCTTGAACTTACAGGCTACCGTGTACAAGTAACCCAGAGCTATATCCTTATTTACATGTATTGACTATTTACACGTATTGACTATTTACATGTATTGACTATTTACATGTATCGACTATTTACACGTATTGACTATTTACATGTATTGACTATTTACATGTATTGACTATTTACATGTATCGACTATTTACTCGTATTGACTATTTACATGTATTGACTATTTACACGTGTTGACTATTTACTCGGATTGACTATTTACACGTATTGACTATTTACACGTATTGACTATTTACACGTATTGACTATTTACTCGGATTGACTATTTACACGTATCGACTATTTACACATATTGACTATTTACACGGATTGACTATTTACACGTATTGATTATTTACACGTATTGACTATTTACTCTTATCGAGTATTGACACGTATTGACTATTTACACGGATTGACTACTTACACAGATTGACTATTTACACGGATTGACTATTTACACTTATTGACTATTTACACGAATTGACTATTTACACGGATTGACTTTCACGGATTGACTATTTACACGTATTGACTATTTACACGTATTGATTATTCACATGTAACGACTATTTACACGTATTGACTATTTACACGTATCGACAATTTACATGTATCGACTATTTACTCGGATTGACTATTTACACGTATCGACTATTTACACATATTGACTATTTACACGGATTGACTATTTACACGTATTGACTATTTACACGAATTGACTATTTACACGGATTGACTATTTACACGTATTGACTATTTACACGTATTGACTATTTACACTTATCGAGTATTTACACGTATTGACTATTTACACGTATCGACTATTTACACGTATTGACTATTTACACGGATTGACTATTTACACGTATTGACTATTTACACGTATTGACTATTTACACGGATTGACTTTCACGGATTGACTATTTACACGTATTGACTATTTACACGTATTGATTATTCACATGTAACGACTATTTACACGTATTGTCTATTTACACGTATCGACAATTTACATGTATCGACTATTTACTCGGATTGACTATTTACACGTATTGACTATTTACACGTATTGACTATTTACACGTATTGACTATTTACACGTATTGACTATTTACACGTATTGACTATTTACACGTATTGACACGGATTTACTATTTACACATATTAACTATTTACACGTATTGACTATTTACACGTATTGACTATTTACACGTATTGAATATTTACACGAATTGACTATTTACACGTATTGACTATTTACATGTATTGACTTGACACTATTTACTATTTACACGTATTGACTATTTACACGTATTGACTATTTACACGTATTGACTATTTACACGTATTGACTATTTACACGTATTGACTATTTATTTACATGTATCGAC